TGTCTATCTAGTTTCAAGAGAGACTCATTTTATTTAATCTAAGTGGACATGGAGAATTTAGATTTTTAAAATTATCAAGATGTTTTCGCCGGCCAGCGACGGCGCCAGGTACTGTATTGGAGCGTTATGCTTGATAAACAAACACTACCGTTTTTGTCATACGGTCCGCTCAAATTATTTGTTTAATAAACTTTTAAAATATTTTGTATCGGCTTTTGATGTCTTTTTTATGCAATATTACTTTATTATTGTTTCTGTCAGATATATCTAATCTAATTAACATCTTTTACTTTCTTTGGCCCTTCGTGTAACTGTTTTTTCATAAATACAATTGAGTGCAAAATAATCGACATCAAAACAATATTTTTAGATTACACCTTCTGTTTTAATGTAAGAAGTATCAAAATACTAAAATGTAATGTTTAAACAATAACTTTATAATTGAACTTACAAAAAGTGCTATTGAATTATTTGGAAGACGTATTATAAAAACAATATGCAATACAAACAAAGTTTCTTAAATATTCATCATTGGAACTAACGTAAGAAAGACGTTATATAAACAGGGAAATCATCAATTACAATATGAATTTCCTAATTATTTAGTATTTGATATTACCATCCCTACTCCTAATTACACTTTCCAATCAATTTCGCATGAATCGGATGACTTGTCTAATACATTCTTAAAGCATTGCTTCCAATTCATCATTAAGCGCAGCTCTCAATTCTATGTTCCTTGGTGCATGATTTCTGTTCCGGACCCTTTGTTTAAGCTCATCGCAAACATGCTCTATTGGATTTATGTCCAGGCCTAACGCAGGCTAATTTTATTGTAGGTATACCGATCTCAGATAGATAGGTGGTGGTGACTCGTGCGCTATGGCATCGTGCATTAAAATAAAGGCATCACCAATAAATCTTGCGAAAACCACATGATCCTCTAAAATGTCTCTGATGTTACAACCTGCCGTTAAATCTCCTCCACGTCTTCCACCAGGCAAGAAAATCAACTCAGTTTTCCCATCCAGAGAACTGCCTGCACAAAACACACAGGAACCGCCTTCATGACCCAATTTCTCGTAAACAAAATTGAGTAAATCGCTCTCCTGGCCTTCCATAGACTCGACTCCTCTTGTCATTGCCATGTAAGCAGATTCTAATTTCATCGGAGAATTATACCTAACTCCATTGATTGTCGTCCCAATCCAGATGTTCGCGAGCAAATTCTAATCGCCTTTGCTTCTGAGCTGCAGTTAGCTTGGGACCCATAGCTGCTATTTTTGGTATCAGGTTGGCTGCCTTTAGTCTCCTTCTGACTGTTAAAATGGTTTTAATCACACCTCGGACCTCACTAAGCTCTTCTTTGAGTTAGCACCACTCAAATGTTGATTTCTCAGGGATTTCGATATAAGAAATTGATCATCTCTCTCTGTTGTTATTCGTGTACGGTCTCCTCCTTGTCGACGGATATAATCACCAGTATCTTGGTACCGACGATACACTCGGGACACAGCAGATTGGCTTAAATTTAGTCGATTTGCCACGGCTCTCTGGCTAAGGCCTTCTCTTAATAATGCTACTGCTTGAGTTACGTTGACGGAGGTGGTATCCATTTGTAATGCAGTTGCGAACTTAAGTGACTGATGTATTAATCGGTTGCTACGAAAATTGATAGGTACGATGTACGATGGTAAAAACAATTTTTTTTAAATTGAGTCGATTATTTTGCATTTAAATGTAGTATAAATTTTACTAAAATTATATTAATCCGTTCGATGCGAGATGTTTTCTAAGCCCTATTATCAAAATTGTTTTGTACTTTTCCATTTCTAATTATCTTTCAGTAACCAGTTGGTGGTTTAACGATAAAACAATTTTTATCTGAATTGTATCTATAAATTTTGCAAGCCAACCACATCCATATTATTATCGAAACTTAAATCTTAAAAATGGATGTGGTATTTGCACTAAAATAGGAACTAAACGTTTTAAAGGATCTATAGCTTAATTTTGAGGCTTCAATGGTTGGTTACATAACAAATAAATGTAGTTACATTTTAAAAATATATTCCTTATAAAATCCACAAGGAAAACAATTCCTGTAGCTGGCTGTACACCACGTATCACAAAAAAAGAGGTTAGTCTTCGTAAGTGGGTATATTTATTTAAAAAACCCTTAAAAGGGCTACATCAAAAAAACAAACGTTTTCGGACTAAACAGTCCATCATCAGGTTTAAAATCGCTAGGTTAAAATGCCTGAGCCACCAAAATACATGGGTAAAAACCCTTTAAATTACATATAGTTGTAAAAGATTATACATCTTGTTGTTAAAAAACTGTGATGTTCAGTATTAAATTAAATATGACTTCAGGTAACATACATTGTTGAATTGAGTTCCAGAGCCGGGGAGTAAACCTCTACGCACGGAGAACAGCTGGAAACTTTTTCCAGCTGTTCTTCGTTTTTTACTCATGTATTTTGGTGGCTCAGGCATTTTAACCTAGCGATTTTAAACCTGATGATGGACTGTTTAGTCCGAAAACGTTTATTTTTTTGATGTAGCCTCTTTAAGGGTTTTTTAAATAAATACACCCACTTACGAAGACTAACCTCTTTTTATATTCCTTATAGTCTCCGTAATATTACTTCATTATACTTATTGTTCAAAAAATTCAGTCCCGTTTTGCATTCTATATTGCCTTCTAAACTTAAAGGGGAAATACACCATTCAATTCGGTTGAACAATGTGGATGACTCAACCAAAATGAACCAGGTATTTTGCAATTCAATAAAAGCGTTCAACCAAATTGAACGTTGAATTGAGTTAAGCCAATTTCTACTTTTGTTCAACTTTGTTGTACAACTGGGATGGTTCATCCACATTGACGTGTCTATACAAGTGTTGTTGATTGTGTTCGATTCAACCGTTTAATTTATTTTGACTTGTGATATAATAGGTTTGTTCCAACACGCAATTTTTGTACCGTCCTGAAACCGTCATGAAATTACTTGTACCGTTTTTAGTGCGCATGTTCATCATTTGTATCGTCTGATGACGGTAATTTGGAAACTGATGTTGGAACGATTTTCTGACAACTGACATAATTTGGTGACAATCTACCTAAATAATTCTTTTTTTTAACCCTAGGCACAGTATAAATAACAACCCCTAGGTTCGGCTAATAGCACCGAAACTAATAGCTCCAAATCATCCTCACTACTGCAATATCAGAAAAATCATTAATTCCATTGTCGTCCAGTCACATTTATAAAGTTATAAATAACAAAAAACAAATATATAAATAAATACTAAGTCTATCTTAAGCACCTGATAAAATTATTAACCTAACTTCTTCTTTTTCTGAAAAAATTTACAGTTTTAATATAAAATCTAAGTTAATCTAGGCCCAACAAATTTAAAGAAGTGGAATAAAATCCTAGTACGCAAGTCCAGTACATTCATTTGCCAGATTACTGAAATTTTCGTCACGAAACCGTCACTGAGCGATCACAATTTTTGTTGGAACGGTTGGAAGGACGATGAGATGAACGATCATATTTTTGTTGGAACGTATTTTGTTTAGTGCACAGGAACGTAACCGTTACGTGAAGGTTTTTTCGTTGTGTTGGAACTTGGAACAAACCTAATAAGTTTCGTACGTACCTTTCGAATCATCCACATTGTTCAACCGAATTTAATGAAGAATAAATGAAGCGTGTATATGAATGCCTTTCAATTTGATTGAACAATGTAATTAACCATTGTTCTTTCGCTTTCTTAATTTTTGTATTTTATTTGTTTATCCTACATACATCTATACATCTGATTATCTTTGTTCTTATATTGACGTCTTTCTTCCATTAAATCTAAAATTTCTTCTGTCATCCATTGCTTCTTTTTATATCTGGTTGGTATTAGAATTTCTTTTTGACTTTTATATATTTCTGTATTTATTAATAACCATTTTTTTTTGCATCTCAGTATTTTGCAGAATTTGTTCTTTAACATTCATTAATTCGTTGTTGATTTCATCTGCCAGGCGTTGCCTTATGAGTGGGTTTCTTAATTTACTTTTATCGATTTTTGCATTTGTTGGTCTTCGTTTTAATTATTTCCTTCTGAGTCTAATTTTGGTCACTACTGGATTGTGATCTGATCTTATGTCGGCACTTGGATAGGTTTTTGCGAATATAATTGCGTTTCTGTATCTTCGTCTAACTAATACATAGTCTATTTGGTTTCTTGCAATTCTCTCTTCTAGATCTGTTGGTGACTTATTCTCTTTGGCATTTTGAACAATGCATTAGCTTTAACAAAATTATTGTTTTGGCAAAATTCGATAAGCCTGTCACCCCTTTCGTTTCTGCAGCCCAGACCATATCCTCCTGTACATTTTTCTACTTTGTCTGCCCCAACCTTTGCGTTAACCATCACTCTCTGGTTTGTCTGAAGTTGGAGCATAAACTTGTAGGATGTTTATTTTGGGTTTGTTCTGGTTTAATTGTAAGAGTATAATTCTGTTGGAGTATGGAGTGATATTTATTACAGCTTCATCAATGTTTTTGTTTAATATTATCCCGACACCATAACTGTGTGAACCGTCTTGACTTCCTAAATAATATATTGTTTTGAAAACTTTCCACTGCTTCCAATCTATGTATGGTTAATTTCTTATGATCATGAAGGCTATTTTTTGCCATTTATGTTCGACTTTTGCGAATTTTTCGAAAAGTTGCGAAAAATTAAAGGATAACAAAGATGACAAAACAAAATCAATTCATAAACAATAAAACGATATTAATAACTTAATCAAGTTCATAAGCAAACACAAAATACTCTTCCACTAGAAGTCACATTCAAAAAGCGCAATGAAGCTTCCGGAATAAAATGATAGTAATCATAGTAATCCAAAATTTACAGAAATATTTATTGTATTCATATAGTGATCTAATACTCCGTGATAAATAAGTAATATTAGACAATTATTGTTATAGGTGAACTAGACGCAACAACTAGACACACGATGACCTTACCAAGATGCGGTGTGAAAGATAAAGTGGGAACAGCAGATAACAGGGCAAAGAGATATGCATTGCAAGGTAAGTAAACACACACAAAGTAATTATTCCTTGATTTATTAATAGCTCTTTAGATTCAATAAATATACTCCATATGCTATATTGAAAATTACGAGGAGTAAAAATGGTAAGAATATTCAGTATGTGGAAATTTGTTTTGACACCTAGTTGTTTTTTACCACTGCAGAGGGCGTCTTCCAAAACCTGCATTTTAATTTGAAAACAGTTTTCTGCCTTTCATTTTTTTAATTTCCAACGAAATTTTTTTATATTTTTAATGCTATTATACGCGACTGTATAAACAGTTCGAAAAAACGCTTGTTTTGGGGCTGAACTTACCGCTGTATTAAAAAGGTGGGATGTTTTTTTAAAAGCTTTTTAGAGGTTTATTTAGTAATCATTAAGTATCAAATAAAATTTGGTTTGCTGACGATTTGTGTAGTAGACTTTGAGAAAAAACATCTTTCAGTTTTGAGATAATCTGATTTCAAGAGAAACGCGTTTATATAGTATTTTTACCGAAATTTTATAGAATAAAATAGCCATATTTATTTTTTTATCTCCAATCATTATCATTTGGTACCCTCACTGTCCAGTAAAAGTTGTAAATGGTCGGTCAAACCTTTTTTTTTATAACTCCTCTTTTGATTTCTCGCTGCTTCTTCTATCGGCTTGAGCAATAAGAGCTTCGTCGATATTTTCCTACCAACTCGTTGCCATTTCTCGAATTTTAGCGTCAGAGTTGCAAATTAACTTGATTTTACTTTATCTTTGATAAAACTAGCATCAGAATTAAAACGAATGCTTTAGTTAGACAAATAAATAGGATACACTGGCAGAGTTTCTCAAAATAAATGTAACACGACTTCTACAAAACACAAAAAGAAATATGAAGAATGATCAGAGAACAAAGAAAAGAGATGAACGTACTAATAAAAACAAAACACATTCAGAAGGAAATATGGGTAGACTACTTTCGATCCCTATTTGCTAAAGGTGACGATAATGAACCACCAACTCCAGAGGTGACGACAAAGAAATAAATATTGAGGAGGAAGAGGTAAAGGAAGCATTGGAATATTAAAGACAGCAAAGATCTTCTTCTTCATGTACCATGTCCTTTCAGAACGTTGGTTACCATCATAGCCATCTTAATTTTATTCTCTGCCACTCTAAATAGCATGCTTGTATCAACACCATACCAATCTCGCAAGTTCTTTAACCATGAGGTTTTTCTTCGTCCTGGACTGTGTTTGCCCGCTATGTTTCCTTGCATGATATTTTGTATCGATATGAAATACAGCAGAGATGAAAACACAAAATTGATGGTAAGACACTACTGGAAAGAGCTAGAAGTACAGGTATACGACGTAGATGCAAGGCGGAGAACATCAAGATCTGGATGAGAAACAGAAGAGTAGAATGGAACGATCATATAAGCCGAATGACAACAAATAGAGTAGTAAAGACTGCAAGAGACTGTTCTCCAATAGCAAGACGATCATGTTGAAAAACCACGAAAACGATGAAAGGACAATGTTACTAGAGGCACATTGAAAAGCAGACAGAGTCATGTCATTAAAAAAAGAAAAAGAACAAGAAGTATACTAGCATCGAAATTCCAATAGTTCAGATCCATTCGAGTCGCTGCATACGACAAAATTCGTAGACGCAGTATTGAAAAAAAAAATACAAAAATTGGATTTTGAGCGAATTTCTCATAATTTTGTAAGAGAAATATGTTCAAATGAATTCAAAAATATGAACCTTGGAGTGTCGTTTCGTCTCATACAAAAGCGTTTTAATCCTGGAAGCTCACACTTGGGTGTGAGATACCCATCCAGACAATTAACTGAATCTAGCATGCTCAACCGGATTTCAATGGTAATGCCGCTTCAATGTAAATTCAGTATGTAGTCTGCCAAGGACAAATATGTAGTTGACGTCTCATTTCAGCAATATTTCCAATCAAGAAAATTTATTGAATAAACACTAGGGTATGTAGCACCCGTGTGTGAGGTTTGCGATAATTTATTAATTATTTTTTATAATGATTTTTTGGGAAATGGCTTCATATAGTTAGAAAGAAAACTGGGAAAAACGTTGCCCGTTGACCCAAACTGAAGTGGAAAGGAAAACTGAAAATTTATTTGCTAATGAAAATAACGAGGATGATGGTAAAAATATCTTTGGTACCGATTCCGAATCTGATGAGGATTATGTCGAAGAACAAAACTCCAATACCGATACTGATGAAAGTGAATAGTGAAATAGATCATAAACTAGTTATAAATCTTGGCAGGTTACTTGGATACAGACGATAACCACTAAGAATTTTTTTTAACATGCTTGATGCAAGTGGTATAAATGCAATGCTGCTATTTTTTCTCGCAAATCCTCATTGGAAAGAAAATGCATCTAATAATAGCAGATCATTTCTGAAGTCTTTGGGAATGGTTTTAATTGAACCAATAATGCGAGAGAGACTTAAATACCTTCTTTACAGAAATCACTCAGGCAAACAATGTGTGGCATTCTTCAAGTTGAAGACCTTCCAACACAACATCCCACAAGTTAAGTAAACCAAACTAGGTGTTATTTCTGCAAACGAAGAGATAGAAAAACGAAGCATGTATGCTAGGCTTGCCATAAAGCATACTGCATGGAGCATAGAGCTAAACTGTGTTATGAATGTAGTCACCAAAATTAATGAAATTGAAATATCTGGCTAAGAATGAATATGAGTTCTATAATAAAAAGTTATTAGCTTTTAGATAGAAAAACCATTTTGTTGTTAAATTAAGGTAAAATATTTTGAATTATGTTTCTGGATTTTTGGAAAATGTTTAATAATTATTTTTAAATATTTTTAATATTTTCTTCTTTGTATTACTACAATAAATTATCTCTGGAAATCATAAAATATTATTTTTTTTGTTTCTTCAAAAAAAGTCATTGGTATCTGATACCCCTGTGTGCGGTATATGTTAAAAAAAATCAGTGTGATCTTCCAGAGTTAAGGTATAGGGCGTTAGATAAAGGAAGATATAGGGTATAGCGGGAAGTGGACTTTATATAGCGAATTAGGGCCAAGATGAAATTCTCAAAACATTTTTGGGGTAAATGGGCAAATGAGACACTTTCTTTGTGTCCCATGGAACAAAAATCTTTAGAGGTAAATAGGGCACTTAGAAAGAAGGGTTTTTTGCTATCTCTTAACAGATGAAATATTTATATATAGTATACGTATAAATAATTTGCTTATTATACGTAGAAAAACTCATCAAATACCTGGATGTCTTAAACAGGGTTAAATTTTGAAATAAGTCACGGTTGCGTTTCGATTTAATTTGAGTTTCTTACCATTCTCTTACACGTGTTTCTGGGTCTACCCGTCATCAGATAGAGTTTGTAAGAAGACTCCAACCAAACCAAAACGCACCGACTACTAAGGCAATTATAGGAAAATAATTACCAGAGTATGCTACTAGAGACCTCTAGTGAGATTAAATTTTACTTATTTTCCTGTAGTCACGAAATCTCGAGGGTAATCAGGTCACTACGATTAATTATAGGTGACATATCTTTAATAATTATTTATAATTATTATTTTTATTGGGAAATATCCCAAATTTTGACGTAACGTGACATAAATTATAAAAAATTCCATAAAGATTAATAAAAATTCCATTTGCTTGTCCCTACACCTAAATAAACTCTGATAAACCACAATTGTGACAAAAATTAATAAAATGATAGCAATATTTTTAATTTCGAAATATTTTATATAGCACGTTATTAGATTATTAAAAATGGCACAATATATGTTTTCGGCTTTTATTTAAATCATAATAATCAACAGCTAACAGTGAACTTTTACAAGAGAATCTTTTGCAGGAGATATGGTTCATGGAACGCAATGAATCAGAATATTTACACTCTTTAATTGGATGGTTACATATATATGTTTGGTCAATTACGAAGTGAAGGGTCATTCTCGGTTAAGGTTGCGTTGACAAATACATACACTGTTCATGTTTTTTTTTTGCAAAAATGAAAGTTTATATAAAACAGTAATTTAGAATCTGTGATTGAAATAATGGCGTTGATTATTTTTATTTATGTATTGATCTTTATAATATATTATATTGTTTCTATATTCCGTTTTGAAAATTATTTATGCAAGGTATCCTATAATTAAAACAATATAAACATTAAAAACAAATAATAGACAATATATGACAGAAAGAAGAATTAAACTGGCATGGCCTCATTAAGAGAGTAAAATCGAAGAATTGGTCTATGAAAATATCGAGATAAGATAATGGGATGAAGTACAATGCTTGAAAAGACATGGATATAAAAAGTTATTACTAGAGAACTTTGATTATATATCGATGGTCTCATACCATAGTGAACCAACAGCCGAAATTGAAAGTTTTTAGTACGACAGTTTAAAATTATACAGGTGTTATAATATATTGTAATATTTTTAGAACTTAACACTCTCAAACAAATTGCTTTCAACAATGGTTATGATCCCAACATTATCCATAATCTTCTAAATAGAGCTAAACTCAAAATTACAGAAAAGCTTGCATATTCATCACAATGTCTTCTTCAACCTAATGCTTCTAACAACATCAGATATTTTTCTTTTACTTATATTAGCAACATTTCCAATAAAATAACTAAACTTTTTACTTCTGCAGTTAAAACATCAAAATTTCCTTTAAGTCACACAACACTGTAGGTAGGTTCCTTTTAAAGTGTGACGATTGTGATACCTCTTATGTAGGTAGAACCAATAGAAAGCTATCTACCAGAATTTCAGAACATTTGAAAAGACCAAACTCTTCAAGTTTTGGTCAACATTTACAGTCTAGTAAACACGATTTCAACATCAATACTGGTTCGTATATTTTGCATGACATCAGTAGAAAGAAAAACTATTTGGAGTTGAATTTATTGGAAGATTTGGAGATCACAAAGGAAACGAATGGAAACTCTCATTGTCTTAA